CACAGCGCCCCCAGCGGCGGGAGGACCGACTAAGACTAACAAACATGAAGTCTGTTAAATCAGTGTCAGACTTTCTGCCATACACACCACATGTCGTACATGAGGTGGAACGAAATTGTGTGCACAGGGTCCCAGTTACATCCAACAAAAGTATAAAATGTAAAATAAAAACAGTGATAAGATCAAAGATATGAACAAAAAAAAACGTTAACTGAAAACACTAGGCACTAATAGTACAAAAACATTACACAGAACAGCAGCAAGAACATGAGCTGTGAGCAGATGAGCACGCATGAACACAGCAACATGAAGCAGATAAGCTGCAACATGAAACAGATCAGCAGCAACACGAAACAGATCAGCAGCAACATGAAATAGATCAGTAGCAACATGAAACTGATCAGCAGCAACATGAAACAGATCAGCAGCAACATGAAATAGATCAGTAGCAACATGAAACTGATCAGCAGCAACATGATGTGATTTTTCACAGTGATCATTCTGGTTAGAGATTCATGAGTCTAACAGCCTCAGGGTAGAAGCTGTTCCTCAGTCTAGTGGTTCTACACTTAATGCTCCTCAACCTCCTTCCTGAGGGGAGCGGGGCAAAAAGTGTGTGTGCTGGGTGAGTGTGGTCCTTCATGATGCAGGTGGCCCTCTTCCTGCATCTGGAGGTGTAGATGTCTGTGATGGTGGGGAGACTGACTCCAACATCTTCTGTGCAGCCTTCACCACTCTCTGCAACGCTTTTCTTTCTGCAGCTGTGCAGCCTCCATGCCACACGTTGATGCTGGAGCACAGGATGCTCTCCACTGCACACCTGTAGAAGGAGGTGAGGACTGAGCTTCCAGACCAGCTCGCCTCAGCCGTCTGAGGAAGTAGAGTCTCTGATGATCTTTCTTCATCAGGCTGGTGGTGTTGTTGCTCCAGCTGAGGTTGTTGTTCAGGTGTACACCCAAGTACTTGTAGCTGGAGACCACTTCCACCGCAGATCCTCTTATGTTCAGGGGGGTGTAGATGTTTTTGTTCCTTCTGAAGTCCACAATCATCTCCTTTGTCTTCTTCACATTGATGTGAAGGTTCTTCTCTTTGCACCAGCTCTCCAGGTGTTCCACCTCTTGCCTGCAGCTGGACTCATCATTGTTTGTGATGCATCCCACCACCGTTTTTTTGTTTTTTCATTTACCCTTTATTTATACAGGTAGTCTCATTGAGTCACAAAAACTTATTTTCAAGAGAATAATAGAATATAAATATTAATAATAAATTTAAATATGAAACAGTATATTTTACCTACTGTTGAACTTAAAACATTTAAAAATAATATAAATTCTCAGTATGTTTAATTTCTTTGTGCCTTTTTCTTGATAAAATTACTTGGCATTGAATCATGAAGGTTTATTTATTTATGTTTGTATATTTTGTTATGAACATTGTTCTAATCTAAACCATGGTGTTTGTAATCTGTTGATGCTGACTGTTGGAATTTGTCTAAAACATATAAATCACATTTAATCTGTTAAATCTTGAACATGAAAGCTAAAGTTGTATTGTTCCTTTAAAAGACAGCAGCTGGACTAATGTGCTTCTTCAACTTTTATTGAAATTTCTCTAAAACATGAAAAATAGAGTTTGTAAACATCATGAAATCATTATAAATTGAGTTCAAGGCTCTGACCGTCCAAACAGGATGATGTCACAGCTGGCTTGGAGCGTGGCGCCTGATGCATGAAGCCCCACCCTCTTTCATGAAAGTTTCAGCTGTGATTGGTCAAAAGGTTTCAGTTCCTGTCCGGTCATAAAACTACACATGAATATCTCAGAAGTTTCAGATGCTGCCAAAAACAAACAATTATAAAAGCTGTGTGGTCATGTGGCAACTGTTGGTACAGTACATGTGCTCCTGAGGCTCCGCCCCCTTTACAACCATGTGCTTCTGTGCAGATCGACTGTAAACGTGCCCCTGAGGCTCCGCCTTGTTTTAGCTGAGTGGTGTGGCCCGTCGGGTTCAGGCGTAGCAGCACTTGTGCATCTTTAGGTTGCGCTGGTCGGCGTATCTCTTCCCACACCTGTCGCAGATGAACTGCTTGCCTCCGGCGTGAACATGTCTCCGGTGCGTCCGCAGGTGGCTGCCCTGGCTGAAGGTCTTGCCGCAGACGTCGCAGGCGTACGGCTTCTCTCCGGTGTGGATGCGGGTGTGCAGCTTGAGGCTGTTGGCGTTGTTGAAGCCCTTGTCGCAGAAGCTGCAGTGGAAGGGCCGGTCGACGGAGTGCGTGCGGCCGTGCGAGATCAGGCCGCTCTGCTGGCTGAACGTCTTTCCGCAGACGTGGCAGCTGAAGGGCCGCTCGCCGGTGTGGACCCTGCGGTGGATCTTCAGGTTCACTGCCTGCTTGAAGGTCTTTCCGCAGAGGTCGCAGGTGAACGGGCGCGCATCGCTGTGGATCCTCTGGTGGTTCCGCAGGTTGACAACGTGTCGGAATGATCTGTGGCACTGCTCACATTCGAAGGGCTTCTGGCCCGTGTGAATGAGCATGTGAGTTTTGAGCGTGACGGCGCGCGTGAACCCTTTGCCGCACACGCTGCAGGTGAAGACCTTCTCCCCGGTGTGTGTGACGGCGTGACGGTGCAGGTTCTGCAGCAGGTTGAAGCGGCGGCCGCACGCGTCGCAGCTGTACGGCTTCTGCCCGGTGTGGACGACGGCGTGCGTCTTCAGCTGCCCCTGCTTGGAGAAGCGCTTGCTGCACTGCGGACACTCGAATGGGCGCTCGCCGGTGTGCGTGCGCATGTGGCTCTGAAGGCTCTGCCGCTGGCGGAAGCAGCGGCTGCAGACGCTGCAGGCGAATGGTTTCTCTCCGGTGTGGATGAGCTTATGAGACTTCAGGTTGCTCTGGGACGAGAAGGACTTCCCACAAAGCGAGCAGGACAGCAGCGTGCAGGAGGCGCTGGGCTGCGTGCCCCCACACTCCTGCAGATCAGACGGCGGTGCAGCTTCAACACGAGCTCCTGGAAGGAAACAATGAGTTTCAGCTGACGTCACAACTTCCTATGTTTCAGGTGGATGACTGATCAGGTACTCACTCTCTGCGATGGCCCCCAGGTCGATGTTCCCGTGCTCGTCTTTAACGGTGACCGCCAGGACAAACGGAGACTCTGCTGCCTCGCCCGCCGCCGCGGTGAGCTGCTGGGAGGGAGCACACAGAAGTCAGGGAGGTCAGTGAACGCACCTCACAGAAAAAGGTGGGCACTCATACCTGGACGGCTCGGTCGGCGTTGCAGCTCTGCTGTCTAACTCCGTATGAGTGTTCCAGTTCTGCTGGGAAGGAACCACAGTTAGTGACATCATCATGCCACAGCCCTGCAGTACGACAGTGTGGGGGCGTGGCATTAGCTCGTACCAACATTAGCATTGTGGAGGATGTTGAGGGCACTTGTCTGAGGCGTCGTACTGCTCCTCGCCACCTGCAGCTCCACCACTAACCTCGCCCCATCGATGATGTTCAGTATCTTCCCAAGAGCTTCATTCCCAAGAGTCTCCATGATGGAGGCAAACAGCTCCTGATGGGTCACATGACATGAGGTAAACTAACAGACTGACACAGGTCACATGACATGAGGTAAACTAACAGACCGACACAGGTCACATGACCTGAGGTAAACTAACAGACCGACACAGGTCACATGACATCAGGTACACTGACTGTCACAGGTCACATGACATGAGGTACATTGTCACAGGTCACTTGACATGAGGTACACTGTCACAGGTCACATGGCATGAGGTAAACTAACAGACTGACACAGGTCACATGACATGAGGTAAACTGACTGTCACAGGTCACATGACATGACGTACACTGTCACAGGTCACATGACATGAGGTACACTGTCACAGGTCACATGACCTGAGGTAAACTAACTGACTGTCACAGGTCACATGACCTGAGGTAAACTAACAGACTGACACAGGTCACATGACATGAGGTAAACTAACAGACTGTCACAGGTCACATGACATGAGGTACACTGTCACAGGTCACTGGAAGTGGGGCAGCTGATGTCTCTCCAGAAGTCCCTGTGTAAAAGGCGGAGGACACCTGGACAGGTGTTCATTCCACCTCCCATTAAGACAAACAACTCTTCCCGCTCTAACTCACACGTAGGAGTCGTTACTCCCTGTTCCGACAGGAAACCAAATTGGACACAACACGGGTGGCTCCTCACCATGTCCGCCCGGGGCCGCTCTTCTCCGGGCTCCCCGCTCCTCCTGAAGCCCGACTTGTCCTCCAGCAGCTTCTTCAGCTCCGCCACCGCAGCGTGGACCAGAGTCTCCATGACGGCAGCCAGCTGGGTGTGCATGGCCGGGGAGGAACTCATCCTGGCCGGGGTTTGGGCGGACGACCACCCGCCTGGAGGTCCACGGGACAAATAAACAAACGAGAAACAATAAACACTTCACTTTGTGCTAAAGTGGAAGAAGAGCTCATTTATTCTGCTCCGGGTGGAAACTAAACTTCCGGTGGAAAAGGCTCCGCTTTGGTGACGTCATTAAAAAAAATTTTTTTTACGACGAGCAAATTCTGCATTAGTGATAATTAAAATAAAAAACACAATTTTAACAGGTTTAAAGAAAAACAAAAACCCATAAATCCAGTTTCAGACAAACTTTAATTTCTTTAAATAATCTTAGCACCAGATAATACTGATTTTTAATAACAGGTAAAATCCATATTCTGAAACATGAACTCTATAATAAAATATGAACTTTCTTTAAGATTAGGTGCACATTCTGACGTTATTTTGAGATGAATGATTTGAATGATAAAGCAGCAGAAAGCTGCAGGAGGAAACTCGATCTTTCTGATTATTATTCACAGATTTTTGTAAATTATGTTTCTGATTTGTTCGTCTAAAAGAAACAACATGTGTTTTATATTAGTGCAGACTTTTTTCAGTCTGATGTAGTTCAGTGGTTCTCTGAAGAATTAACATGAAACATCACACAACCAAGTAGAAAAGATGGTCTGAGCTTTTCATGCTGTACAACTTGTCCTAAACATGTTCTGAACGGGTCCTAAACATGTTCTGAACGGGTC